CGAACTCCACCTTCAGATCATGCTAATGTCGCCATTTTGTGAGCACACGTCCTGTGAAGAGGCGTGGATTCTGACTACGCGTGCGCAGATCGTCAATCACCTCACGTCTCCTCACCTCCAGTCATCTAGCTCCACATTTCAGACGACCTTGCCCCCCTACTCCATAAATATCCCTGAGTCCCCATTTTTGGGGAGGCGGATTTGAGACTCATTCTCCCGCTTCCTTGCTTGGCTGCCTTGTAATTAAACCCTCTCTCTGCTGCAATCTTGTCATCTCGGTGTTCGGCTTTCCAGGCAACAGGCAAAAAACAAACATGGTTCCATAATATCATGATACACCCCTCCCCCCACTTAACTTTAGGAAATAAAACTTCCATTTGATTTGTTAATAAAGCTGAAAAATTAATCCAAAAAAAATAGCAAAAAAAAAAAAATCCCTTCTTTCAAATGCATTTTTAAGCTAAATTCCAAGTGATACCCTAAGTTGCATTTACCTGAGAGGAAAAAAAAAAAGTCACCAGAGGTAAGAAATGTTTGGGTTATACTGTGCCCTGCAGATATTAAAAAAATCAAAATCAATTTGGTTTTGAAGGGGAGCAGAATTTGTCCCCCCAAAATATGCCACTTTGGCATGAGGAGTATTTTGAGCTAAAGGCAATCAAAATCCAGCAGAGTCAGGAAAAAGCTCTTTACCTCCCCCTCAACTGCCTAAATTTACATTGGAAAAGGGGCCTGTACCAGGAAGAGAGCTATTATCAGAGATACCCAAGAAACTTACCTGCAAAACAGGGCAAGCTTTGTTTTCCAAACATCTCCTCTGCCTTCCTTGGAGGGGCTTTCCTCCCCATTGTGCCCCCAAATCCCCACTCCTCTCCCCAGCTCAGGGCACTATATAAGCTTCAATTACCCAGCTGCCTTTCGAGTCTCATATCTTTGGGGCTCCTGTACGTACAAAATTAAATTTGTTTTTCTCCTGTTAATCTGTCTTATATCAATTTGATTATTAGACCAGCCAAAGAACCTGGAAAGGAAGAAGGGAAAATTTTTCTGCCCCTACAGTTTGAACATCTATTCTAGCACTTCAACTTAAAAAAAAAAAAAAAAAAAAAAACCTGCATAGACTTATGGATTAACTTATTAAGCAATCTATGTGGAAAGGAGCAAGAATGTTTTAGCTTAATAGATTTTCTGACACGTCAAAGAGAAAATAATCAATCATTATGGATTTTGCAAAGTGCATTTTTTATCTTTCTCTCTAATGAGAAAATGAAACAAGAGCTGTTCATTGTCTCTCTAGAGAGTCTCATAATTTACAAAGAATATCCTTCTTTAAAGTGTTTACCCATAAATGCCCAGCCCGTGCAGTTTGTCAGTAAAGGGAAAATGGGCCCCTCATCATTTTTCTGGTTAATGCATTAAAAGAGAAAGGGGGGAAGTTACCCAAAAAAGCTGTGTTACATTTCCACATTCCCTATTGTTTCTGGGTCACACCACATAGGTTAAAGGGCACTGTGACAAAAGGGCAAAAAGAAATAAATTTAACACAAAGTCCACAACTGTTAAGACTATCTAGTGTCATCAGTATACGGTTAGTTTGGGGGAGGGAAGAAGAAAAAGAGGAATGATGAAACCGTCCCCTAGACTTTTATGGGACAAGGAAGGAGGCCCCTGGAAGTCCAGAAAGAGAAAGAATACGGCATTCTCAGTGTCCAGGTGAGAGCAAGCACAGCAGCGGCGTAAACGCCCTGTACCAACGGTAACTGCTGTCCAGAAAACTTCTATGAAATAAGTCTGATTAATGCAAATCAATGAATGGTAACAATGTAATTACAGTAAGTTATATTTTTACTGATTAGGTACCACCTTTAACAGGAAGCCATGTGCCATCTCTAAGCTATTTGTGTTTCTCTCTAAAGACTCGAGCTGTACCTCGACCAGCTGAAGAGTAAACCACCCCATTAAAAAATCTTTTCAAGAGAAAAAAGGGATTTAATTATGAACTTGGGATGCTTGGGTTCTAGTCCCAAATGCTGAAGGAAAGAAACAATGAAATTTTGTTATTAACTCAGCTTGTGCTTTTCTCATTTTACTTTATTTCTTCCTTTTGGTCTTGGTCCCCACGTGCCGCCAAAATGACGCATATGGGTTTACAGTTCTTCATCCTCTGTAAAGTAAGAGGATATTTTTTTTCCCTCAGAGACAGGTAAGGCATCAAGAAAGAAGGACCAGTTAACCAGGAGGTTATAATTATTTTACCTTTCCCGTCATTGAGAAAAATCATCTCAGTTTGTCACAGTCCTGGTTCCCTTATTTGTAAAAGATCCACTTTATGGTCTTTGTCTTTATCTGAAATAGTTTAAGTGAATTACTTAAGAATTTCAAAACTGAGAGATACACACACATACACACATACTTTATTGAGATATAATTCACCTAATAAAGTGTGCAATTCAATGGTTTTTAGTATATTCACTGAGTTGTGCAACCATCACCACAATCAATTTTAGAACACAGACACAGCGTCTAAATCCTTTAACCCATCATGCAGGAGAAAACTAAGGTCTCAGGTGAAGTCACGTTCCCAAGGTCACAGAGCTGGTCAGCGGCAGAGCCAGACCTGGATCCCTGAGAATTACTAAGCCATCTAGGACTCGTCCAGGACTCTCTCGCCCCCACCCTGGGAACCTTCTACGTGAATTAAAACCTGCTGTTAAAATGTTGTCTGCGAAGAACAGCTGGCATTTTTTATCATCCTGCTCCCTCTTATATTAAACCCAGTCTAATTTTCTCCCCAAATCTGTTGCACTGCAAGATTTCTTAGAAAGACTTCGAAAACAAGATAAAAATGTGTCTGTTGGGCACTTTGACCACAAAATGCGGTTTGTAAGCTCAGAGAGAAGCTGCGATGTCTTTCTTTTCAGATAAATGCACAGAGGATTTCAGCTCATGCAAAAAAAGACTAAATTAGACCCTCTGCTCATTTCGTTTTTAATGAACTGATTATGGGCAGTTAAACTAAACCACCTCATCACTAGCATAATTTTTTATTTCAACCATTCACTCTGGTTAGTGGTCAGAAACCAACTTGAATCATCCAAGGCCTTATGTCTTGGTCATCTCTGAGATTTATGCCTAGGAAGTCCAAATCCATAAAAGAAAATTTTCGAAAAAGGTTAGCTCTCTGCCAGGGCCAAGGAAGCCAGTGTAACAGGAAGAGCCGGACTGCCCAGACCACAGGGACACCCAGCCTCCGGCCACCCAAGATGAGGGCATCCTCAGTTCTCAGCCCACAGCAGTACCTGCCAACTGCTCCCACCTTGACCCGCTCCCCCCTGGGTTTCCAAGACACTCTTCTCTCTCTTGCATCCTAATAGTTCTCTCCTTCCTGTGCTCCCCCACCCAAAAAGTTTCACATATTCAGTCAACATTTGAGTGGCCACTGCTTCTCAAGTACTGGGCTAGACACTGTCCCTAAATGTGGGTACTCCCCAGGGTCCACGCTGGGCATGTCCTGACTTTCATTTGCACGTAATTATATTTTTAAATCTCCATTTAGGCTGGAAAGCCCAAAAACTCTGTAGCTCCAGTCTCGGCCTCACCCCCTGCGCCCCAGGTCAAGATATGTTCCTGGCCAGTGATGTCTGAACGTCCCACAGACCCCCTCAAAGTGCCCAGGGCTGGCAGGGAATCAGCCATCTCCCGGGGTCACCTAACTTGCTCCTCCCCCAGGCTCCCTGTCACGCTGAAGAGCACCACTGTCCACCCAGTGGCCCCAGCTGGAAAAAGGCCTGGTGCAGTCTCTCCCTGGGAAGGGTGTGAGCAAGGGGACAGAGGCACCTTTCAGGGGGACTGAGGCTGGAAGAGGTGAACCTTCTAATTCCAGCTGCTTTTCAGGGGCCGATTTGTGGGAGAAGCCGGATGAGACCTCCCCACAAATGTGGGTTCTCGATGAAATCTGTCCAAGCTAGTTCTAGCAAAATTAGGGGGCTGGAGGTCGTGAGGGACTAGCGCAACAGATCCAGGGGTGCAGGTGTGAGACGGGTTTTAGGATGTGAGCTCTGCCATGGCTAGAAGAGACTGCAATCTTGGAATACAAATTTGCTTGTCGTCAACACACACACACACACACACACACACACATCGATTTCACGCTCCCCCGCCTGTTTTCCTGTTTTCCTCTGCTCCAAGGCCATTCCTCCTTGCCTCTCACACCCCAGCCACAATTCCTCCTCATACTTAATTCTCAACTGACGCGTCTCCTCCCCCTCCGGGACGCCTTCCCTGACGCCCCTACGGTGTGAGCTGCCATCCTCCGTGCGCGGAGGTGTGTCTGACACTGTTTGTTTACGTGTCTGTCTCGGCGTTTCCCCAACACACGCGCAGCCCTCTGAGAGCAGGAGCCTGGTGCCCAGCCCCGGGCCGACAGCGGGAAGGCGGCGGGGAGCCCCAGCCCGGGGGCGGGGCGCAGTCCAGCCGGGTTCAGCCGGAGGCGCGCGCGGGGAGCGCAGCAGGGCCCAGACGAGCGCCGAGGACACAGCATCCTCGGATCCGCCCACGCCCGCGCGGCCGCCCCGAGGCGGCAGGACGACCCCCCCCCCCGGGACTCCCACCCAAAATGTCCTCCCTGTGGTCCTCCTCCCTGTGACACTCCTCTCCGCGCGGGCAGGAGAGAGGCACCGAGCGGAGCCTCCAGGCCTCCGCACGCCCACCCTGTCCCCGGCGCCCGAGACCCGCGGCCCGTCACCTCTGCTCCCTCCCCGCAGAACCTCGAGGGTCGCCGCGGCTCGGGGTAGAGTGGGGCCGGGGGCTTGGGAGGAGGAGGAGGCGCCAAAAAGCGGAGGAGAGAGCAGGCGGCCCCTCTCCACCCCGCGCGCTCTTAGGCGGGAAGAAACCGAGGCCCAGGAGAGGGCCCCCCCAGGCGCCACAGCCCCCGGAGCCCTGGAGCCTCGGGGGAGCGCAGTCCCCTTGTCCCCCTCCCTCCCTCCCCTGCGCGTCCCTACCTGGCTGGCTTTGTGGAACTGCTTCTTCAGCCCCGCCATCGACATCGCGACTGCGCCCGGCCGGGCTGGGTGGTCTCTGCGCTCGGCCGGGCCACGCGGCTGCGACGCGCTGGGGGAGCGGGCGCCGGGGCCGGTCCCCCAGAGGCTGGGCTCCGGCGGGCCAGCCTCCCACGGCCACGGCCACGGCCACGGCCACAGCCGCTGTCACACGCGCACACACGCGCGCACGCAGATGGCAACACTGCGTTCCAAAGCCCCTGCGCAGCCCATTGGCCAAGCCGGGGCGCTATGCAAATGAGGCCGCTGGGGCCGCCCACGCGGCATTGTTGCGTGGAGACCTGGAGGACCGGAGAGGCTGGGAAGATGGACCTGTGATGCGGCGCGTGGAGGTGTCCCCGAGTCGGGAGAGCAGAGCCACACGGGGCTTCTTGCTGGGTGTAGGATGAGCTGCGTCTGGCTTCACGATTGCCCTTGGGTGGGGAGAGAGGGATCACCTTTCTCTGCTTCTGCTGAGAAATCTGCTTTGCTTTCGGGCAACATCGCCTCCCTCTGGCGCGTGCTGGGTAGGTTTATGTTTTAAGAAAGGGACGCTCCGAATTACGCCTGGGGAGAGAGAAATGCAACATGACAGAGGACCTGCGGTAGGAGGCAGTGGTCTGTGGGCGGCCGGGCTGTTTTTTCTTTCCCCGCGCGGTGTTCTGGGTACAATGTGCCCAAATGATTTCGGTCCTCTAGGAGCCCAAGAGTTATTGGGTAATTTATTAATAAATACGTTCTCGCCTCCATAGAGCGCTGAGCGCGCTGTCGGCTGCGTTAAGAGCAACTATCTCCAAGGAGCCGTAAACAGCGCGCTGGACCCCGGGGGGGAATTCACCAGACGAGGGCCCCAGCTCCTTTGGTAACTCCTACCAGTTGTGTCAGGTACAGAGCATCGTTTTGCACAGGGGCCAGAAGTCTAGGACCCACAACCGAGACCCAGCCGGGGGCCTGGAGCATCCCGTTGATCTTCGTGTCAGAGCTGCCCCCAACAGGTCAGCATCTTCGCTGAATCTGGCCTCCAAAGGGCTCCCAAGAAACTACAACCCACCCTTAGCAACGCTTAACACTGAAAGAAACATCTTCCTCCTCCAGTGTCTACCTAAGAGAAAGAAGCTCCTCTTTCTGGGCCCTCAACAGATCCCATTAGGGATGACCAAGAGTCCCGGTTTCCCTCTGACTCTCCCCATTTACCCCTGTTCCCCAGCGTCCCCTCCTGGCATCCTGCGTTTCTCCAGGACAAAGTCACACAGCCTCTCCTTTGCCGTTAGCTCCCAACTCCTTTATCCCTGGCTCCATCCTAGTGAGGATTGGGCCAGTAACTCTACCTCCCTGAGGCTCAGTGTCCTCAGTTTCCTTAGAGGGTGTGGACAGGAGCATCATTCCTCTGATATGGGAGAAAATTAATGTACTTAGTGGAGGAGAGAAAGGCGGCCATCCCCAGAGATAGTTAGTTTGACTTGAGTGAGTGCTGTGGGCTTGACTGGCCTGGAAATGGCTGATGCCAGCCACAGATAGGTGACTAGAAGGTGTGAGCTGGGTCAGAATAGCATAGCAAGATGACCTGTCCACACAGCGGAACCCCACTCAACAGCAGGCTGTACCCTGGGGTAACAGCTACACTCAGGCAGAGGCAGCTGGGGTCCCAGACTGGGATTGGGGTCCGCCTTGTCCTGGGCTGGTTCAGGGCAGCCTGGAAGGTCCTCACTGCCTTTTATCTCCATATCCAAGAGTTGTTTAAATAGCAGAGACTTGAAGAAATTTCTCCCTAAAGCAATCTGGCTCTGTGCCTTTTGGGAAGGAGGTGATTTTTTTTTTAATAACTTTTTTGCATTTTTTTTCCATGGTTGATAGTATATTCAAGTCTCCTACTTCAGTTAATGTTGGTAATTTATCTCTTCATTTAATCGAGTGTAACGTTGTACATCATATTCTCATAACTTTGAAACTTCAGAATCTTTCATATACATTTTTCCTTTATAAAAGTACTTGTGATTTTTCTTAATTTTTTTCAGTGATTAGACTATTTGGAGGTTTGCCAATTTTACTGGTCTTTTAAAACACTTCTTGAATTGACTCATAATTGCTATAGCTTTTTTTCTCTCATTAATTTCTGTCTTTATTCTATATTCTTTCTTCTGTTTTGTTCAAGAGATTGAAGTTATTAACAACAGAAACTGACCCTGGTTAACATGAGCTGGAAAAGAATGTGTTGGAGAAGGACATCAGGCAGCCCAGAGATTCAGAGGGGCATAGGAGACCAGGGGAGGGAATGAGCAGGACTAGGAATCTGAGTGGTCAGATCCCCAGCAGGTCCAGGACCAGTTTGTTGGATGTGCTGGCTCCACCCCTGAATGCTGGCTGTGGCTGCCAGAGTAAGGGCTAAGCTGTTCTCTGCTTCTTTCACTGCTACTTGGAAGTCCCGGGGGGACAGCATCTGATTGGTTAAGTTAGATGATACGCCCAGGCCCTAGATATCTAAGATGCACACCATGGTGGATTTCCCTAATACATAGGAAGATGCTTCAGATGCTAGGCAGCCAAAAAATTCTAAAACCAAGAGCCACACAGATGCCCATTAAAGTTTATTTGGGGATTCCTTAATCTTTTCAGCTGAATATGTGGTATATTTATTTTTATTCTTTCTGGTTTTATAATCAGCACAGATAAAACTATGAATCCACCCCACCCCCCACGTGTGGCTTTGATTTCACACTTTGTTTTCATTAAGTAATATACTTCTTCTGGTTATTTCCTAAATAAACTTGTAACGGCTGTTTTAATTTCCTCTTTGATCCAAATGTTATTCAGGACAGTTTTTTAAAATTTCTTCTAGGTGGTTTGATTTCTTTTATTCATTGTATATTAAATTCTAGACCTCAGGTATTATTGTCAAACAACATGTCCTGAAGTTTTTTATATAGCCCAGTGTGTTAAATTTTATAAATGTACCACAGAGGTTTGAAATAACGCACATTCTCAGTTTCCAGGGTTCAGTTTTTCAGTTTAATCTGTAACGGGAGCCCACATTCCACCGAAGCTCCTGGCTCGGAGGGAGATTGCAAATTCATGCCAGCTGGAGCCACGTGGGTCAGCTCGGGGCTTGTCCTTCACGTCGCCGTCACCCCTCCAGTGACACAAGGGCCCACAGCTCCTCCATCTGTTTAGCGAGGGAGTAGGCAGATGTCTTGGCCCCTTCATCAGAGTTGTCTACATGGGATGAAACCGATTGGAGAGTCTTGAGGCGCAGACAAGCATCACTCTAAACCAAAGGCTCCTGGGCATTTGGTGGTCTTCCCAGGTGGGTGACAAGAGGGATGCTGTGGTTGTCTCTAGCACTCTGGACAGATGGCCCATGTGCTGGCAGAGGTCTGGGTGTTCTCCTACCACAGAGGTCCTTGTGGTCCTTGGTTCTCACCTCCCTTTCCCTTCCCTGGTCCACAGAGCGCTAAGCTAGTATGCACTGACATCTCTCTGTCTTGTGCGTGGGCCAGCTTTTGAATCTAGTGTTTGCAGTCCTTGCATCTGGTCCTGCAGTGAGTCACTCACATCCCTCTCTGTGTGGACTGGAGCAGAAGACCCCTGGGGAGGGAATGGAAGAGGAAGAAAGCATACTGGTCGATGTCTCCAAATATTATCCCGTCTCACTTCGTAAGTCAAGTCTTCCGAGCTTATCATTCAGATGCTCTGTGTCCTGGTTTTTCCTACTCTGCTTATCAAAGACTGAGGGAGATTGTCCACAGTCTCTTGCTTCAATTTTGATTATGTCTGTTGTTCCCTCTATTTGGGAGCTTATCTTTAAATATTTTAGTCCTATGGTATTCTGCCTATGTGACGACTGTCATATCTTCCTGTGGGCTGAAATTTTATCCATAGAAAATAACATATTTTGTCCTACTTATGTCTTTTTGCTTCTATTTTACTTTGTCATATCAATTTTTGTATCCCTCCTGTTTTTGTATGTGCTTCATATGGCCTAATTTGTCCTTTTTTTCCCAGCTTTATGGAGATATATTGATGTATAATGTTATGTAAGTTTAAGGTGTACAATGCGATGTGATACATGTATGTATTGTGAAATGATTACCACAATAGGGTTAGTTAACACCTCCATCACCTCACTTAATCACCTTTATGTGCGTGTGGGAAGAACATTTAAGATCTACTCTCTTAGCAGCTTTCATGGATAGGTCCTTTATTTTTGACCTTTCATTTTGTTTTAGATGTGTGCTCTTATAAAAAGAGTAAAATCTAATTTTGTTTTGGATCCAAAATATGTCATTGCCTTTTCCTAGATAGATTTAAAGCATTCATATTTATTATGAAAAAGATATATTTGGTCTTAGTTTTGTCATTTTATGGCATATTATCTGTTTTTGTTTTCCCCTTCCAATAGTCCTGCTATCATTCATATCTATTTGTCACTAAACTAAAGATTTTCCTTGCTTTTTCTTCCCCTTTGCTTTAGGAAATTATACGCCCAATTTTTACTCAACCAGAGGTTACCTTTGTCCTATAAAATATTTGGACATATGTCCTCTATCAACATCAATAAATAAACATTGTGCAGAAGCCACAGCATGACTAGAATGAGCATGGCCAGGACACATGAACTGGGGTCACCTTGTCACCTGCTTTGACGGTGACCACCTCGTGCTCTGGCCCCAGCCATCTGGGAAGCCTCCAGCAGAGACCAGAGGGGTCCAGTTTCCTTTGTCTGAAGCAGCAAGTGAGCCCGTTTAAGACTGGGGTGCAGGGTGTTGGTTTTAAGTCAAGGAAGCAAAAATGGAGAAAAGACAACTTAAACAGAAATTTTGAGGTAAAAGAATAGTGAAATGATTTTAAATTCAAAATGAAAGTTTTCATAAGTGTGTATTTTTCATTATCCAATAACAGAGAAAATTTGGAAACTATTGAAGAGTAAAAAGGAGGAAAAATTATCTTTGGAACCACCATTAAAACAATTGCTCTTAGCGTTTTGTCATAATTTTCTTTTATAGTCTTTTTCCTAGGCACAATTTAAACACAGTAGGGTTATGACTGTGCACGCTACTTTATTTTCTTCTTTGTTCTCTTAACTACATGAGCATTTTCTATATTGTCTAGACTTCACACACATAATTTTTTTTTTTAGATTGGGCCTGACCTAACATCTGTTGCCAATCTTTTC